GGGACTTTAAATGATGCCACTCTCTATCATGGTACCTCTCTGCGCCATGTACTGTTAGCAATTCATATGTGGCTGGGCTTCCAATGCCAAGCATTGTTATGGCTGCACCAAGTGACTGTCAATCAGCCAGCCAGGGCTCATTTCATCCATGGGTGGGGGGATCTAGCGGGATGGGGGGTTGTAAGGGGAAGGGAGCGGGGGGCGCCCAGTAGGGCGCCGGCGCCCCAGCGTAGAGGGCCTCGTGTAGCCCTGCTTTTGGTATATTTAAAAGCAGCGCGAGTCAACCTTCTTTTCTAGACCGCTAGGATTGAGAGCAGCCTCGCTCTCAATGGCAGTCGCTGGCCCACTCCTAGACGCCTTTACCGCCGCAGTGGGCCCCTCCGACGGCAGCGACGTAGGTGGGGACGGAGGCAGAGATGAGCCAAGTGACGGCGAGGGCGACAGTGACGATGGCGACGGCGACGGGGGGGGAGAGGGGAATGGCGAGAGCGCAGCCTCTGATGAACGAAAGATAGCGCGGTCTGTCTTCCGCTCTATCCACGACAGGTCCCTATCACGGCCGACGTCAGACACGGCGTACTCAGTGTTGACAGATGCGCTACCGGTTGGACCGCGAAGATGTAAGAAGCCACGTCGACGGGGACTGTGCGACCTGTGCGGCCTACTGGGCGGCGTGAGAGCAATCGAAACGACACGCCACCTCGCCCTCGAATGTCCATACACCACACTGACCCTCGAGGCGGTACTCCGCGCAGTCCTGGAAAGCACGACCCTGGATGAAGCCGTGCTAGAGGAGGTACGGGGCATGGGGAGGGAGCAGCTAGTCCACGAATACCGCCGCCTCTGCATCACCGGGTTCCGTCTGACCACGGGCAGAGGACAAATGGCTGAGGGGCGCATTGGGGCGACGCCGACTCGCGTTATTATGCTTGAGACACTTGCAGGCATCGTACGACGGCGCCACCGGAACGCCCTCCTCGCGCCGGACGACACGCCGGACGTGCGAGTTGACACGATCTACAACGAGGCGCGCCGAGCCCTAATCCGGACTTACGCCCACACCCGCCGCCGAGCTCTCGACGAGGAGAAGGCGATTCGCCTCCGAATCCCGGGCTGGCAGCCGTCGCCAGGGGAGGGGCCTGTTGCGGAGTGGGAGACGGAGTGGCTCGCCTCAGCGCTCAGGTTTCTTTTCCAGCGAAGGTGAGTGCGAGCTCCCCGAGACGCTCGAATCTGTCCGAGAAATGGCGGCAAACGGCTGCGCGGTGAGCACAGTCGCACTCCTCTGTGTAGCGCCTCAGGGTGAAGGGGGGGCATGCCGGGTCAAGCTGAGACTAATGGTAGAGGCACCAGGGGTCGTTCTTCGCCCACAGCAGCAACTGACAGAACAGGCGCAACGACGCCCGCCCGACTGGGTGGCATACACAGACGGGTCGGAGGACCTAGGGAAAGCAGGATGGGCCTATACAGTACTCATCGGGGGCGACGCCATCGGCGATGAGGGCGCGTCGCTGGCGAGCGAGGGCTACGGGCCAGTTGTCACTTCGGCGGCGCACCCAGCCTACCTCGGCGCGAGAAAGCACACCAACAACACGGCGGAACTAACCGCCCTAGCCGAGCTCCTCCGGGCTCTCCTGTCCTCGTCACCGCAACGAGCGGGCTCACGCGGAGTAGTGCGGACCGACAGCGAGTACGCGGCGGCGTGCATGATGGGGAGGGTGACCCCCAAAACGAACAGACAGCTAGCGGAGCGCCTTCGTTCCCTCTGGCGACGCCTTCGCGCCAAACACACCGTGACGTGGAGGCATGTGGCGGGTCACAGCGGCAACAAATGGAACGACTAGTACGTCGACGAGCTAGCTGCTCGCGGCAGGCAAGGTGACAGAGGCTCAAACGCTGCCGAGTGGGCGGACAACACCATCCCGACGGACACTCCCGACGAGGGGAGCGACACGGAAGGACCCGCCCTCGCCCCTCGGGGCGGGGGCCCCCGCCCCCCCGGGGGGCCCTTTGAGGCCCCTCCAGGGGGCGACCCCTCCGGGGAGGCCGGCCCTCCCCGTGCCGGTTCTCCCCAACCAACCCCGCCGGCAGGTGCGCGCGGTCGGTCGCGGGGGAGCGCAATGCGATGGCCTGAGCGAGGACGCCTCTGTGCGCCCGCGCGTTAGAGCCATGTCTGGGGAGGTGAACGCGTCCTGTTGAGTGGTGGGATGTCGTGTGTGTGGGTGTTCGCCGCCTATATGCTCTATCCTGCGGCAAGACGGACGTGTTTTGACAATCAAAATCTACCTCAAAATTTGCGGCCGCCCCTCGAAATTTGCTGATCAAAATTTGCGGTGGCCCGGATCGAAACCTGTGGTTTGGCCAACGTGTGTCGTGTGGGGTGTGGCATTGTGACTGTACGAATCTGTACGTCAACGTCGGCCACAATCTGAGCTAGCGAGTCACGCGCCGTGCGTGTTTTTCGGGCTACATATCCGCTGGTGGTGCTGGAACAGCAGCTACAACACAGCACTGTCTCAAGCCATGGACTCGATACGTACATTTCAATGCAGAGCTCAGAGCCAGAAGCCCATATTACGTAGGCGCGATGTGACATGGAAGTCCGTTCAACTGGTGCGCACGCCGTGTATGATCTCGGTCTGGGTCAGCTTCCCGTCCTCGAGATGAAGGATGGTCTGCACGCAACTGTCCGCGCCGGTCAGCACGATCGAGCCGCAGTCCAGGCGCGTCGCCACGGCCTCCTCGCCCTGCCCGCACTCGGCGCAGCTGCTGTCCTCGGTCCGGCTCACGAGCAGGGTGTCGCGGCCGACCTGGTGGAACTTGTATTCAAACGGCAGCCCCATGGCGTCGAACTTGACCACGCCGCCGCCGATGTGCTGCCCGCGGAGCGTCACCTTGCGCTCGCCCGCTGTCAGCGTCGTCGTGCAGTTCTCGCCGTCCACCTCCCACTCGACGGTGCGCAGCCGGTCCTCCTGCCGTTCAAAGCCTATGCCGCTGAAGATCATATAGTTGTTTGTCCAGGTCCCGCCCACGAAGCGCGAGATCACCCTTCCGGGAAGGGCTCTTCCGACATCGCCGCCGCCTCGATACAAGTCCGCGCACTTAATGATTTTCGGCCGGCCGCAGGTCGGGCTGGACGCGGCTGTTTCGGCCGGCGGTCGGGGTCGGACACCAGCTTTGTCGGCGCGTCAGCGCAGAAGAAAATTTTGGGCGATTTTCTTGTACTCTTTGTTTAAATTCGTGTACTCCCGTCACTTCCAGCTCACCCTTAGGATTCGAATCTCGAACTTCTATTTACTGTGTCGTGCGAGGGAGTTTTGTTGAAAAATTCTATTTACTCCTTGGAGGTTCCCTCAGGCCCGCCGCCGCGCCTCGCTGGACAGCGGCCGTGACTCACCTGCTTCGGGCGCGCTGCTCCTCGGGGATGGCGAGAAGCGGCAGAGGTGATGCTCATAGATGAGCTAGCCCCAGATGCCCCGTTTGCCCCACTGCGGCGCCGCGCTCGTGCCGGCGTGCGAGTGGGTACAATGCACCCCCTCGGCCGCTCGCGGCCCGGAACGCATCGGGAGATATTCATTCGTATACGCCTAGACGTGCTCAGATGGCACGTAGTAGTGTGACTGAGCGCGTGGCCACTCTCCACCCTCGATTGCGGGCTGGTAGGTGCGCAGTTGCCGCACGCGGCCGGAGGCTCAAGCGGCGAGGGGTGACGATGGCGGCACCTTAAGCGTCGCGGCGCGACGAGCGGAGACGCAGGCGCGGTGCTGTAGCCTCACGCTATGATAGCCTCACCCGTCCTGGGCCCTCCACACGGTTCTTACCCCCGAAATACGCCTACAGGTCTCTGACTCGTCGCGCCGCGACAACTCCACACATACACTCGCCTTCATTCTCCCCCTCCCTAGCCGGCGCGCGGGAGTCGAGCCACAACATCACGCCCCCGCCTCACGACCTCGCCGAAGACGCGCAGAGCGTGTCGCTCGGAGAGGGCCGAGGTGCGGCGCGCGTGTGTCCCACCAAGATCCCCACCGCTTCTCCGACCAACCCCCATTCCCAGGTGGACGCTGTGAGGACGACACAAGGTCCTCCTTGCCCCTCCCTCTCCCCCGCGCGCGGGTGCACGCGGCGCGCGGCGCGACGCAACGCGCGCCCATGCTGTGGCCGCTCGCTCGTGCGGTGGCACGCCTCACGCGCTGCTCGCGCTGCCAAGCGAGTCCCAGTCGATCCACCGCTCCCACTCCTGCGCCACAGTGCCCGGGACAGTCTGCAGGACAGGCAGGCCCGGCCAGCCGGCGTCCTGGTCCTCACTGTTGTCCTGGGCGTCGGCGACGAGGGCAGCGACCACCTTCATCATACCCTCATCTCCGAGATTGTACTGGTCGAGGTCGAGATTCGGGAAGAGGCCATCCTGCAGCTTTTTCACGGCCTCACGCTGCGTGTCCTTGTTCCAAGCTTTATGCAGCCCGGTGGCCTCCCAGCACTTGAGCATCCCACTCTTCTCCGTTGTGTTCATCTCAGGCACCGCTTCCGAGAGCCAGTTCACCAGGTTCCGCTTGCACGTCGGAACGTCCGACGGCACCGTAATCTCCTCCGGCTTGGTGCCGCCGCGCAGCTGCCGCTGCACCAAGTCGCAGACCCACGTCCCGTACTGGCGACGGAGTATGCCCTTGAGCATGGCGATGATGCCAGCATCCATTGGCTGCCCCTTGGGCGTGCAGCGGGGGGGGACATAGAGCAGACGGATCCACGGGTGCGTCTCTGCGAGCCAAGCCTTCCAGCCCGCGTCAATCCACCCCCACCACACATCCACAATGACGACGCAGACCTGCGTCCCAAACTCCTTGCAGGACTCAAGGCTCGTCGCACGCATCTCCTCGATCTTGCGCTTGAAGTATGGCACCACCACGTCCGTGATCCAGGCCCGGGACGTGATGTTGTCGCTCCAGTGGTTTGCGGTGAGGCAGAAGGAGGCGATGCCGGTGATCCAGGTGGCAGCCACGACTGGCGAGGGCACGAAACAGAACGAGCGGGTGCCCTTGCTGTTCGACTTATTCAAGGTGTGACTGTAGCTGTAGGGGGCTCCCAGGTTAGGCAGAGCCCTGACAGTTTTCCCTTCCATCACCGTCTGGTGCGGCAGCATCTCGCCCGCTGCAGAGGTGGCCGTGACCACCGTGCACTGGCGCTTGTCGCCGTGGTTCTGCAGGCTCTTGTCCCCGCTTTTATGCATCTCCTCGGTGATCCACGTCTTGCCCTTCCTCTGTGGTGGTGGTGGGGGGGGGGGGGGAGATGGAACGGGAGTTAGGTACGCTCGCC